TTCAGTAAGTAATGATTAGAGCCACATTCTGCAGCTCTGAAAACTCTTACATCCAATGCATTAATTCAAGATGTTTGTTGCATAATTAGGTAGTCAATTATTGATTTCTGGCTCTTCGTAGGTTGCACCCAGGTATATTTGTGAATATTTTTATGTTCATAGAAACCATTCATAATCTTCATATCGTAGACGTTACATATCTCAATTCATCTTTTTCCATTTTCATGTATATCTTTTCCAAAAGCACATACTGCTTTGACCTTTATTTTTCTCCCTACTATCTAGCATTCATGTCCCCCATTATTACTATTTCTTTCCTATTACTTATTGAATCGAGAAGAGTTGTGAGTTCTTTTTCAAAATTGTCTTTTAGGTTCTTCTTGGAATCATCAGTTGGTCCATAAACGGCAATTATAGGTATTTTAAACTACAAAGCCCTTAACAGCAAAACCGAGTGAAACGTAGTGGACATTTTTTGGCTATTTAATTGCTAATTAATTACTATAAAATTAATTTAATTGCCATTTATTTTTTAAAAAACGCAGTGTTTTTCCAGCTTGTCATGGTGGCAAAACATTCATGGTTTCTACTTCCTTAAACAACAAAAACTACTAAAACATTTTCGGCTATTTAATTGCTAATTAATTACCAAGAAGTGTATTTAATTGCACTTTAGTAAAAAAGAAACGCAGTGTTTTTCTAACTGATATCAAAGTAGCAAAATATTGGTGATTTTTACTCCCTTAAATAACTAAAACTACAACACACTTTTTGACATTTAATTGCTAATTAATTACCAATAAATTAACTCAATAAAATAGTGCTTTTACAACTTGATCAACAGAGTAGCAAAATATTTACAATTTCTGTTTTAAGTGTGCCCTATTTTGTCAAAGACCATTGTACACATGAAAAGAAAATACAATTAGTTACCCTAGCAAAACAAAGTAGAATGTATTTGACAGTAGATTTCATGTCCCCGAGTAAACAGAAATTGAGTGTGATTTAATTACTGACAGCAAAATCGTTTAATATATCAAATCTTATTAACTTGTCAAAGAACTTTAATATATGATAAGAAAATTTAATTTAACAATTAATTACCCGAGCAAAACAAAGTAGAATCTATATGGCTGTGTAATTTCATGTCCCCGAGTAAACAGAAATTGACTGCGATTTAATTACTGACAGAAAAATCGCTTAATATATCAAATCGTATTGTCTTGTCAAAGAACATTAAACACGTGATAAGAAAGTTCAGTTTTTGGATGCTATTTTTCAGTGATTTTCAATTTATCATTACTTCCGTAATAGTCATCGAAAATTAAAGAAATGAAAAGTGTCTTAAAGGCTTGAACCTCTACTTTGATTTCAATATCAACCTAGTTTTAACCCGTTTAAGCACCCAATAGATGTCGCCAACTTTTTTGTCTAAAAAGTGGTCAGAATCATAAAATTCATTCAAAACCTAATCGTTTTAAAAACTTCATGTAATTCGGGTGAAAAATAACAAATTTATATGACGTTTTGAAAAAACCCTTGCATTTTAGGCTTTATTTGTCAATTTTTGTCATATAATTTTTTGTATGAGTTTTTGCAGTTTTAAATAAAATATGATTGAGATCCTGTATATAAATCATGTAAACATTTCCTGCGTCTATATCCTGCATACTGACCCTGCATATAAATCCAGCAAACAGACCCTGCGTAAATTTAATGATATAAAAAATTTTCATAAATATGATAGAAGTCCGTTTATTCTAATATCCACCTACTATAAATAAATATTTTATGTATTTTTAATCCAAAATAATTCAAATTTTATGATACATTTTTTGGGTATTTCGTAATTAAAATTAACAAATGTCAGAATTAACCCAACTTGTACGTTAACACTTTCTACAACATATTAACTTTTTTTTGTAGAGTTCCATCATTTTTCATACTGAAATCAAAAATATATATGTTTATTTATGAATAGGGCACATTTTCGAATTTTTGTGCAATTTTTCAAAAATTCGTTGGTAGTGAACTCTAAATTTCAGTGAATCTAGTTTTTTCTTTATTCTCACGTCTTTTTTATAAATTTCAAGCGCTAGAAAGGGGTGCATTATCAAAAATTTGAAAGTGACCTTTTTTGAATCACCTTAGTGTGTATGTATATGTTTTTATAAACATCTTTAAAAAAATATTTTGAACAATATATTGACCGGAAGTGTGCCTTGGTCTATTATATTCATTGTAAATATTATTTTCGTACCCTTGATTAATAATAATAATAATAATAATAACAATATAATAACAAATGTGGTCAATACATCTAGTTTTGATACATTTGCATAAACTTTCTTCAGAATGATGTAAGGTTATATTGCTAATTTAACATGAACTTGACCAGAAACACCTGTTGACGGGGCATGGGATGGCTGTAGCGCGTGGTTCATTCAATTCAACCAGTCCTCATTTGTTTTCGGTTTGGGCCTTGACCCGATTCACACTTGAAGCGCGATGGACCCACGTGCTTCAGCAACTCTATGTGGAGTTGTGTGTGGTGGCTTGAAATGAGACGTTACCTTTAAGATTGTTAGTAAGCTGTGTACTTTCTATATTTTGGGGTTTTGTTTACCTTAGTTTATAATTTTTTACGTTTGGTTTTTTGGTGTGTAATGTTAATTAATGAATCAATTTATTGTTATGTGTGTTGTCCTCATGCACTGTTCATTGTTTATACTCTAGCCCTGATGAAGAAATTAAATATTTCGAACTGTTGACGCAACTAATTGTTTCTTTAAAACCAATGTCAATCCTGTGAAACAATTTTAATTTATTATCACTGTAACGTTCAATTTGCTGTTGACCCCTTTTCCTGGTTATGGTGGAGGATCGGATCTGTTCCAAAAAACCTGTGAGCATCACTTTATCTGCAGAACGTTGACTCTTGAATTTCTTTTTGACAGGAGGTTCGGGATGCCATTCCATGCCCCGACGTTTACTCTCTGATTCGAAGGGGTGAACCCATGTTTCATTTCCAGTGATAAAACGTTTCACTTTCGTTTGCAAGACGATCCATTAGGTGCTGACAGATTCTTACACGATTACGCTTGTGCTCTTGAATAAGTTCTTTCGGAACCCATCTCGAACAAACTTTACGAAAGTTAAGCCTGTTATGCATGATTTCATATGCAGAACCACTCACCAGTCACTCGTCTGTTATTGAGTATCAAATCACACTCTCGTTAGTGTCGTCATGTACGGCTGCAGCTGGCCGCCCGGTTCATTCCTCATCGTTCACGCACGTTGGAGCTCTTTTGAACAGTTCAATCCACTGGTAAACACTTCGCTGCGGAAATACAGTGTCCCCGATCTGTGCTGTAAGTCTTCTATGAAATTTCGCTCCTGGCACACCTTCAGACTACAAAAAACGGATTACGGTATGCTGTTCTTTGGGGCAAACAAAGTGGCGCGACCATCTTTACGTCGTAACAGCGCAAGATGGACATCAAGCTGAAACCTACTACAGAGGAAGACAACGGTGCCACCTAGTGGCTGGTGAGCATACAAACCATATAGTCGACCTAAAGAAATTAGAGCAAAAATGCCGATATTTATTGACTTACCCTGGTAATTTTGTCAATATTTTGACCGATAGATATAACCGCATCCGATAATGAACAATTGTTTTAGTTATTATTAATTACTTCAGAGTTTTGAAACATTATTTGTTTTACAGAATTTACTCTAATTTAAGTGTAAATTTCAGTTATAATGGCTTCTTCGGGCGCAACTGTCCGTAAGTGAACTGGGACCTCCTTCAGAATTTCGTTCCATGTATCTCTTTCCCGTGCCTTCCTCCTCCAATGTTTCACTCATGCGTTTCAGGTATTCAAATGGTATACACTAACAAAATAAATAGTTGATAAAACACATTTTATATCAAAATAAAAATATTTAAATGCTTCAATATCAAAACAGTAACTTACTGTTTTCTTTCACAAAGAAAAAACAACACAGAAATACAAAAGCAACCACTTATACAATACGACTGCTTTTTATTTTTGTGTTAATTTTTTTTGTGAACAAAGATATTCATTTTTTCTGAAAATAATAAACAATTTACGTGTTTGTTGTGCGTTTACATGTTTCTGAAACGCAAATTTTTGCATAAAAGGATTTTTTCAAACCAACTTTTTAGTCCTCATTGTGGCTCAGCTATTCGGAATATCCAAGGATTTTATTACACAATATATGCTTTAAATTGTCTTAAGATCTTATTTTCGAAGTTTCGACGTTTCCTTCCTGGACATCCAGTATTTATGTCACTCAAAATTACACTAAAATTACTCAGATTTTTTAAACGGACATGATCTTAGTAAAAGATAAAACGTTCGCGAACAACTTTTATTGATGAAAAAATTATTATTATTATTATTATTATTATCGTAGGAAGACACTGTAGGAAGTGGTTGAACGGAGACAATCAAAAATAATTAAACTTTGGCAATTTTCGAAAATTAACAAAATCCAATGAAAATGTGTCATGTGCCGTATTACAAGCGCTTTTTGTTTCATCGAAGAAAAAATCTAAGCCGTTTTTGAGAAAAGTTTGAAAATGTTAAGGATTTATGTAAATTACCTTCAAAAATGAAAATATCCGTTTAAAACTTAAGGGGACGTGACATCAACCATATCGATTGGGAAATATGCGTTGTACACAGACATACCAATTTTTGGGCATCAATGACCCCCAAAACATGGATCCACAACGTCTAAGAGGAATTAATTTTATTAGATGTTGGGACAAGATTTATCCACTTTTCGGTATTAGGACACCGCAATGCGAGTATTTCTGTCAAAAAATCTATATTGCGTTAATAGAAAGCGAGAAAGTAAAAATGGATATGCAGGTTGTATGAAAATTAAATATATGAATAAATAAGTAAACAAATAAAAGAAATAAAACACCAATAATTTTGTGCAAGAATTTATTCAATCACAAACAACTTGGATCATTTCCTCCTTATTTACTTGTTTTACATAAAGTTTCAGATAAACTATGCCTCTCTGTCCTTCATTATATTAATACATATGTTGATTCTTTTATTTCGTATCGACTTCTAGAAACTCAAATATTCATACATACTTTGAGAACAATTTTAAACCTTTACTAGGAACTATTCAATAACAAAAACAATGCGATACTATATCGGTGATTAAATTATTACAACAGATCTCAAATTTTGTTTTGAGACAGTCATAATGATAGATAAAAAGTAAGATGATCTCCAACCGAATTCTAATGATACCTGTGACAGAACTTAACTAAAAATTTATAAATCTGGCGAAAATTTGTCATACTATTAGCTTTTAGTGGGGTTGTTATTTCTCTCTCCTGAAACATCACTATTTTTTAGATACGTGTTATAATTTAGCCATCAATATATTTTATACCTGTTCTGAAATTTTAATAATATTCATACAACCATAACTACAGACCTTTTTGTTTCCACACTTTAAGAGCAGCATGGTGAATAATGGTGTGTCTTTTTCCAAGTTTATCAATATCTTGACAATAGCCACCACCAATAACAGTGGCACAAGGAATCCCTCTGTTGATTACGTTGGTAAGAACGAACAGATCCCGTTTAAACAGTCCTAATAAATAAAATTTCATATTATTAAATTAAGTTATTTTATAAGTTCCCTTAAGTTATAATTTCATATTATCAAATTAAGTTCATTATGTTACGCATTCAGAATTCTATCAAATTCTGTCAGCCTTCATGCAGCTCGTTGCGTATATTTTGCAAATGTACATTCCCGCCTGAGATATAGTATAAAATTCTGGTAAACTCATCATGTAGTACTCAGACCTTTAGATTGCAAAAGAAAATTATTCGAATAATGAAAAAATGCCATCCGCGTTACCCTTGCAACCCTCTCTTCATTGAGCTTAGAATCTTACCACTACCTTGCCTACTTATAAGAGAGTTGCCTACTTAAGAATCTGTAATATTAGTCAAAAGTGACTTACTTAACGGTGGGAACATATTTTCACGCAATACTGATATTTATAATTAAAACACACGTAGAAATCACGTACATCAAGTGTCAATAGCTCGCTATCAGAAATCCACATACATCTACTTTTCTTTACAACGGACTGCCAGATGACATTAAACAATTGAAGTCGGTTCACAAATTTAAGTTAAAAGTAAAATCTTTTCTGCTGCATAACTGGTTCTATACAATTAGAGACTGCATTGATTATCAAAAAGAAAAATAATGTTTATTTTAACAAAACAGTGATATATAATGAATTAGTTTACTTTTGTATTGTATATTTTTTTTAAAGACTTAATATGTTTGTAACAAATAATGCACTTTATCTTCCGGGTCAATGACCCCCATCTCGATCATATTTTTGTCCAGTTTCCCTGATCCATTGAGCAAATGCTGAGGTGGCCTCTTGTTTTGCTTCTGGACGTAAATGTAGCTTCACTATACTTGCAATTCCTGTACCGATGGAAATAAGTTTTCTATAACTCAGAAATGAAAATGACTATTTTTCAATATTGCTAATTTGGCGACTTTTTATTTTTTTAAAATTTATGTTAAACTTTTACTCATCTTTCAACTATTTATAGTTAAAATGACGGGAAGGAATTCTGGAACTCAAGAAACCGTGCGCAGATAATCTTTTCCCCCCTACGTCACATACAGGTTTTTACTTTGACTGAATAAAGCTAGTCTAACTTCTAAACATTCCTATGATACAATTTAACAAGGATGAAAGATATTTAGAAATCAACAAATGTCATAAGAACGCAAATACTCTAGTGATGTTACAGAATTGTATAACGTTTTGGTACCAGTTAGTTTTCAAATTGTTTTCGTCCAGGCTAGCTTTTTCATTTGTTTCACCTTCCTCCCAGCTACCACCTACCGTCGCCTAAAAGACAAATTTTCTCAATTTTTCGGTCCATAATTGTAGTATTGAAATATAACTTTATGAATATTAAACAAGAGGACATGGTCCTACAATGTATAAATTTTGATCCAAAAAAATTGGAGCCATTTGTCATAAATAGGAGGCGGATTTTGATGACCTAAAACATTAGCAAAAATGATCAATAAAATGCTCTTAAAGTGCTTTGAAAATGACCTAAAAATAAAGAAAAATTACGTAAAAAAAAATAAAAACCTCTTCAGATCAACTACTCAAGCAGTTAGGTATGTTACTAATGTCATCGAGGCTTCTTCCTTTTGTTCGCGAGAACTCAGCCTTCAAACTTCTGGTCCGGACTGTTTAAAAGATTATCTCAGGCTTTATTTATCGCGAAATCAACCAACTGACAATGGCGCGGATAGGGGTCACATGAACCTTAGATTACATAGTACTTTACGGCCATTACAAAATATGAGCGAAGAAATCGAATAAGCTACTCAGGACTTCTGTATGTGAACATTTGTTGCACCTCATAAATATTGTTTGAAACAAGTATTAAAATGATATTAAAATAGATGAAATCAGCGAAAAATGTATATAAGAGTAGAAATACCATACGAAAGGATATTATTTATTTATCTTTCCAATTCTTTATGACACGAATGTTCTTTGCAAAACAGAAACAATAAATAGTACGATTTCAGAAGTTTCAAATTGGTTTTGTTAATTAACAAATTAATAGTTAACGAAGGAAAAACAATTTCAATGCATTTTTGCATTTCAAATCAACAATTGCATGCTCCATTGTAAATTAACAGTATGCAATTAGCTGATGTTAAGGTAACAAAATTTCTAGGCCTCTCAATTTAGTCAACCCTCAAATGAAATGTACATATAACAGAATTAAACAGTAAATTAAGTTATGTGATGCATTCAGGATTCTTTCATATTCTGTCAGCCTTCATACAGCTCGTTGCATGCTTTTTGCAAATGTGCACTCCCGCCTGAGATATAACATAATATTCTGGGGAAGCTCATCACCTTTAGATTGCAAAAGAAAATTATTCGTATAATGAAAGAATGCCATCCGCATGATCCCTGCAAGATTCTCTTCATTGAGTTTAGAATCCTACCATTGCCTTGCATATTTATTTATTTATTTATTTATGAATATGTAATATTTGTCAAAATTTACTTATTTAACGGTAGTAACATATTTTCATGCAATACTGATATTTATAATTACAATTTAAATTTATTTTCTCATAAATAATTTTACTTATCACGAAACGTCATAAAAAATCATTTAAAGCACTTGCACTCAAAAGTGCAATAAGGTTCACAAATGCTTGTTATCCAAATATTAACAAGAGATAGATTTAAAGAAATATATTTGTGTTGTTTTTGAAAAGTGAAAAGAATACATGGATTTGGAAATGGATTTACGGAATGTAATTCAAAACATTTAGCACTATCCGAACAAAATGTTTAAAAAACTAGGTGGTAAAACAGCACACACGACATCTCGTCACTCAGTAACGGTTATGTAAGACAATTACACCGCATTTCTATCTTTATGAACACATCTCAGTCGACGAGCACTGACAAGGCGCGCATGCAGCGATGTGCGCTGCCAGTAATAGGCACATATTTGTTGATCAATTCTGCTCAAATACGCAATTTGTATCGTAAAAGGAAGGTGATCCTTAGTTGGTGTGAAATCTGTATATTTTCCATTAATTACAAGCAGAAATTTCGAAAAATTACTCTTTTTTTTCAAAAACGTGTACACGACATTTTTTGAAATGCTAATTTTGTACAATTCTTTGTCTGAGGTAGAAATCTCTATCTTCAATTTTGTAGTTTTTGAAGAATTTTTTGCACTTTCGAAAAAAACGAGCAATATCCTAAAATGAGACTAGCGCCATATTTCTTACCGTTCATTAGTTTCTTTTTGTTATATGGTGACAAAGTTCAATTTTTTAAAAATCTTGCCCACTCTCAGTATTACAGTTAAGAGATTTCTTTCTTAATAAATTTATTTTCCAATATTAGATCTTTAAATGATTACATAAATACTCTTGTAAATTTTTATGTGGGGCTCTACTTTTTTCAAAAAATTAGTAGTTTTCACATAATTTTGGGATATGCTATTAGCATTTTTAAAGTGATTGGTGTGTCTACATGTTAGTGAGATAGAAGGTAAAACATGTAGTCATTACCAATAATACAAGAAAGTATGTCCTATTGTAGCTCTACTAGTTTTTTCTGACATTTTAATTCACATGTACTGCCTCCCAATTTGATAAATAGTACATTATCGGTTTAAATCTGACTTATTTTAAAAAGTAGAAACATCTCTATTCAAAAAGCATCTATCCCGTTCATGGTGCATGAGGTTATGTGCTGGAATATCACATACAAGGGGACATACCCTGTAGGAGTCAGTGAGCATGAGGGTTCCCAGGTAGGTATTACGGAAAAAAGGAGGAATTGGTGGATTTCGTCAAAAACCTGGGATAAATAATGGTATTCCTATTCAAACATAGACAATAAGATTCCTGTGCATTAGTTTGCGAGTTCCTCTAATGATAAGGTTAACTTGCACTTAGTGGTCAAGAAAGGACACTAACTTTTTCGTGGTGGCTCGAGCGCCGTGGCCCGTGTCGCCATTATACAAGTATAGAGAAATTATATATAATAAGGACATTTGCGTAATTCATTATTACTAGGGCTAGGATAGTTATGTAATATTTTTTCTATCACATTTTAATTGATGCATATTGAAATATGTCCACCGATTAATGTTTTTCTGGCGAGAAATGCAATTTTTATAGTGCATGTTTTTTATATATTATGGGACTCTTTATAATTGCATAATATTTAGAACATATCATTTTCAGAGGAAAATGCCTAAAAAATGCAATTATTAATTACTTTAAATATGTAGTTACTACTTCTTTGTAGTCACTAGTAATATCAATAATAATCATAATAATAAATAAGTTAATAATAGTTACTGTTCATTAGGAACTGATTATAATTTTTGTATGATATTTAAATTTCGAACTGGATTTTTTCTCAGGATGAAAAGGCTCTCCAAACAAACTGATCAGCGAGATCTTGATGGTGTAAGAAACTGCGCCACGGTAGGAGAGCAGTGGGGACCGATAGAGAGTATACTATTTGAAACTAACAGTAGCATCTGCATTACAGCTCAGTTTTGAGTGTGGACATGGAGTGCTCGGGTGTTATTATTTGGTCTCGACACGCATACGACTTATTTGAATTCCAAGTAAGTCGTAGTGAAACGTAGGCGTTCGCTTTTTCGCAGAGATTTTGCCAGTGAATAGGATCTTTAACGAGCGCATAATGACAGCTATGTTGTACGAGTTTATGTTTACGTCACGGGCGACATAGGAGCGAGTGATTAATAGCCATTACCTCTGTGTAGATAAGTATACTTTCCCTACGACCTCAACATTTTCAGAATATATTTTGAACAAATTTTGTGTTATTTTCATCGGCAAAAACGCGCTTAGCTTCTTACCAACCAACCATTGAACGCTCTCAGAGCGCGTCCATAGCAACGGCTCAAGTGACATTTTAGCGGACTGTCGAGTTTAGAGTTCACCACTATTCATAAATCTTTGGATAAGTATGTCCCTTTTGTCCCACTTGGCCCTTGTTTTTTGTGTCTCATTTG